TTCATGTGGATAGGAAATAATAAAAATAATTAAAACATGTCTAAAATACACATTTGAGCAAACAAAAACCATGCTTATGAATGTATGTAGGAAATATTTATAAAAATTATAAAAAAAAAATAAAAATGAAAAGAATATACAACAATCTTCAATTGATAGCACTACAAGCGTGTTATGTTGAATCATATACATAATTATCTTTCAATTACCTATAACCAACACGAGTTCCTATTTCTTTCAGGAAAAATTATTCTCCAAATACACCCAGTTGAAATATCTTAATTCTTCTCTATTGGTTTTTTGAAAATTAGGACAAACAAAAAAAAAAGACAAATTCAATAATAATGAGTTGTGACCAAAATATTAAAAGCCTCAAATTTCCAAAAGAGAAACACGTGACATACTTTTGTAGATGTCTCGTCCTACGTGAGCCAAACCTAATCAATGTTTCTAGAAGGAAGAAATTCATTCAAAACTACTCCATTAAAAAAGTAGCAAGAATAAGTAAATGGACATGATTTGTCGAAATCAATACACGTTTGTCCTCCTGCTTAATGAAAAATGCCCGGATTTTTAACGTAGTGTTGAGTAATTGGAAATTAAACCATAATGAAAGACAAATTGAAGTTCATTAATATCTTGAACCTTAAATTAGATCAAGGCTACAAACAGATCAGTTAGAGGTCGAGAAACAAAAATACTATGGAGCCAATAGTTGGCTCCTTTATGGAGTCAACCACCAATGTTATAGTGCCACGTCGGCCATGTGGAGTTAATTATTTTTCCACATGGCCTACGTGACACTATAACATTGGTCGTTGGCTCCATAAAAGGAGTCAACTATTGGCTCCATAGCATTTCTCGGTTGAGAAAATCACAATATTAATATGAACAACACGACTCCCAGGAAAGATGAATGCCAGTGGACTCTTGGAACTCGAGGCAAAAGATTATATGCCATAATCCGTATGCGAACTCATCTCAAATCTATATATTCTATTAAACAATAAATTAAAAATTGAGCTCAACATGCTTATACCAAATTACCAATAGTTCAACATTCACCCCAAGGAACATAATCGGTAGGTAGGTGTACAAGAGGCTTCACTACAGATCTAGCAGAGGTGTCAGACGACCTTAGGCTGCGGCTGCTCATCAAGGAACACAACCTTGCTGTGTTTATCACATACGACTTCACCCCGCTTATGTCCAAAACCATATATGAATTCCAAGTCCCTAACAACATCATGGTAAGAGACGGCTTTTTCTGACACCAAACCAATTCTAACTAACTAATTAAATAAAAAAAAAATCACGCACAAATCAGACCACCTAAAATAAAAAATAATAATCCAAATATAAATTAAAAATCGACCTGATTTACTTGGAGGTCCTGGTGTTTGAACGACTGAAATAGAAGCACAAGGAGTCGACGTTGTAGTTGAAGAAGTACATATCGCATTCGCTCCACGCGGCGACAAAATGGGTCTAGCTTGTCTGATGAAGTTCGTGTCAAACAGTTTTTCTAACCATGGCAACATGTTATTGTTCTTATACCTTTTCCAATGGAAAAAAAATCTGCCTCCCCGTTTAAGTACCTTGCAAATACAACAAAGAAAATATCAAATAAAGATGGCATTAATTTAAATAAAAATCAAATAAAAAATGAGTAAATGTTGTTGCCTAAGAAAAAGTTGAACTGTTATTCTTCAAAATTGGGTATTGGAAAGAATTATAAATATATAAATATAATATTTTCTATTACACAAAGTATTCAAACAATGCATAGTCATTGTAATTCAATTGTTATTGAACTTAATAATCAGTATCATAACATAGATCGACCACAATCAGAATCAACAACCTCAACCAAGTACCAAAAATCAGATACATAAATATGTAATACATGTGACATAATAATAATGTCATACTGTGACACGATAGTATAATTAATAACCCAACAAAGAGTCAATACCACACTCTGAGAACAATCAGCACTATTGAGGCCATGAAAGAATGCAACATAAAATCAAGAGGGAACCTGTGAGCTTTTGAAAGAGCTTTTTCTATACGTGTAACATTATTTATCCCAAAAGTAAATGTATAGCCATCCATTGACTTATCTTCAAATTTTAATGCTTCAGCATCTCCTTCAACCCACACGAGGGATTTATCGTTTCCAGGACCTTCATAGAATACATATGCAACCAATTTAAAAACAATTAGATAATGTACAGAAAATAGAGGATCGACTTACTTCTCTCTTGCGCTCTACTTTTGCCAAAATTCGACATATTTGGGTTTATATTACATAAAAATACTTGAGTTTTTTTAAGTACATTGTCATCATTGTCATCATGAATATATCTCATGGCTCTATGACGAACACTTACTTTCTAGGATATTGAAAGCCACATCCCTTGTAAAATTAGAAAAGCTCTTTAATCAGGTATAAATATGGAAACCAAGCAGCATTAACTGTCGAAATAACAACTAAAAGTTTCCCCCTAAACATGATAAAACATTTTAACTCAACTGTAAAGTACGAAGAATGAAGAGTCCGTGTAGTTGAATATGATATGGATACTACAGATAAAGGGAAAACACTTTCTTTGCATCTGACACGATTAGAACTAAGTTTTTCATCCCACTTCCACACATATATTTACTACATAATTATTTGACGATATCACAGACTTAGTCGTTTCCCTCCCAGATCCATTTATAGTTTGTCTGAACAAAAGAGAACTTTCACATAAGGAAGTTCAATATGTGGTACAGGCCCATCAATTATTAATATATCCACATATCATATCAACATCCAAACTGTCTGAACATGCCTTTCTACAAATATTGAATCAAGTATGCTAAAAAAGAAAACAATCACTGGTTCGAACATTCTCTATTTAGAAGCAATAAATTCATTTTTCTGTTCGTGATATGCACAACAGGACACACACGCACATTTGGTCGTACATCGAAATACATAAACAGACACAACAAACAAGTTATTAACATAACTTAATTACACTCACTTGTTCCACCAGCCACATGAAGATGTTTCATCCCCGGAAATGGATCCAATTTCAAAATCAATCTACAAATAATTGGCAACATAAGAAACCCACATGTGTTAAACTTTAATAAAAAAAAAAGAAAAAAAAAAAGAGTAAATAGAAAGAAATCAGACGAACCTCTCTTTCCACAATTTATGCCGACCACCACTCATAAAATCATTCATCATGAGATCATAATTTGGGGCGTTTGGTTAAAACATTACCCACCAATAGACTCTTTTCCTCCCCAACATCCTTAAACCCTGGAAATCGGAAAAAAAATACCACATTTTTACCAATAACCCAAAAATCACATAATTTTCATGAAAACAATGAGTTCAGTGAAAAGGGACACTAACCGAAGCTGGTCGAACGAGAGTGCAAAGCGAGCACGAATTAAATAGCGGCGAAAATGGTTGATTGTTCTAAGAACAACTTTGCCAATTTGTCTTGCACTCGAGTAAGAAAAATGATGTAGCCGAACATAAGGATTAGATGAGAAAACGGGAGAGAAAAATGAAGCTTCGAGAGAAAGCTTCAGCCATGGATACTCCCTACATCTTTCTTTCCTTCTCAGTGCCACTAAATGACAAACTACTACTACTCTTAGATCTGGAGAGGGGCTGATTACCTTGTTCACTCTTGACCAAGTTAAGTTCTAAACTTCGTTTTGTTTTTCATAGGCTTGTATTTTCCGTTTTCTTTAGATCTTAACATTTGTAGAAAGCTAAGATTTAGTCTGGCAAAGGTCCAAGGTAGGATGTATATGTACTACCTTTAATTACATTTCCCCTAAGCATAATTCCCATTTCTATTTCATTTTTAATTAACTCTACCTGAATATTTTATATTTTGATGGCTCAATTCTTCATGTTTTTCAGGGATTAATTGAAATGTTGAGGGTTTACTTCAATAGATGTGAAATCAATAGTACTTGGGTAAAACATATATGGATCCTTATGTATTTCAATTCTTTTTTTGTTCCTCTAATACTTTTCAAGTAACATAAATGAATAAGTTAATATTGGTAATGAATACTGGTCTTAGTTTGTATTAATTGATAAATCACTGCTATTATTTTCTCATAAATGTAGAATAATCATGAAATATTGTCTTAGATAATATTTAACTGATATATTATTTTTATTATTTTTGTTATTTGCCTTTGCAGTGTTTTTGTACTTATATGGTTCTGAAAATTGAAGTTTAGTTATCAATTTGTACAATATAGCTATGAAGGAAGTGGAATATAAATAAAAAAATTATCAATTTATATTGCATAACTAAAAAGAACCCCAACTTTGTGTTTTCTTACACTCTGAGCACAATGTTAAAGTAATGAGTTAAATTATCTTATTCTCAAATTCTTTTATTATAATTTTCACACGAACAGTTATGTATTTTGGTTATTTTGAAAAATAACTGGAATAGTAGAGTTTTAGTTGTGGCAAAAGAGGTTGCCAAAGGTGTGGTTAGAAAAATAATGAAATGAGATTTTTATTTGAAAGAAAAATTGAAAATAAAAACAAAGAGTAAATATGTCAGTCCTACACTAAAACAACATGCTAGAGACACTTGTGTTTTTATGTTTGTTTCTCTTCTGTAGGCTCTAACCAATTTTGGGAGTCGCCTACGTGAAATTGGACAAGATATACCAACTGCCTGGCATTGAACCATTGTTTGATAAGATAAAAAAAGTCTATTATCTTCTTATTTGATTTGCTTTTGTGATTCTTATTTGTAGATGGTGAATCAAATTTCCCATAGTTGGACTAGACAACAACATGAATAAATTCTAAGGTTTAGAATCATTACCACTCAATTTATTGTATTCTTAGTTATAGTTTTATTTTGTCATATTTGATTGATACCTTCTGTGTTTCCTATTGATGGTTCCAAGTTTCCAACATGTTGGTGACCATATTTGGTTAAAGTATAGCTCATTTATTTATTTATTTGTCAAATTTCACTACATTGAATTTGGTTTCCTCTATCTATAAGTATGTTTCTTGATGCTTACTTTTCCATTTTGTACCTGACGNTAATAAATAGACTAGCCAATGGTTTTTTACCCCAAGACGTCCATTTTTTACTACTCGTTTGGTTTTGTTAATGATGGTTTTTATTACCTATCTACAAAGTATCATTCTTTACCATGCATTGTATTAGTTTTCATAGTTCTTGGAGCATTATGAGCTATGAAAGTCAACTCAGCTTCACTAGATGCAGCCCCACCTTGGTGAATGCAATAGATTTATCAAAAGTTGTATAATTATTGAGTTTTATGAATTCATAATTCATAACCGTTAAGTTTTATTTATTTTTCTCTCGGGTTATGGTTGAATATTTATATGAAAAGGTAATTATTTAGACAAATGAAGAAAATATGTGGTTGAGTTGGAGGTTTTCATGGGTCAATGATTGTAACCGGCTATAAATTTATGAATTTCAATCCAGCAAGATTAACTACTTTATGAGAGGATCCATTATAATTTATGAACTAAAATCAGGGAAATGATGCACATTTTCTCTATGAATCAAAATGAACAAATAATGGGACACTTGACTTTGTTGTGGAGATAACTTTGGAGTTGTTGTGGAAATTTTTTTGAAAAATAAATTAAAAGAACTTAAATTTTACGTGGCCAGCACGGCCATTTGCCCCTAGTTAAATACTTAGATAGACTTAGATAAAATAAAATATTAAAAATGAATTGTAATTGTGAAAGGATGTTGAGGGCTAAAAAAAGGTAATTCACATCCAAATTTTCTACGTGTCATGAGGTGAGGCAACATGTCAAATAAAAAAATAATATAAACTACAGTGTCCAAACTGCTTTATATTAAATACTTAGACTTAGATATAATAATTAGTCATTATGATGGTAAGCAAAATAATATTTTTATTATTTAACTTAAAAAAGTATTCTAGAAAATATGTTTGAATTAGTTATCAAACTTTTATTACAATGTTGATAAACTACTTATTGTATTTGTTTAATTTTTCAAACAATGTTTTATAAACATTTTCAAAATCGTTGGATTGAATTTAATATTTACAAGAAATATTTTATAAATACTTTTGTTCAATTGAATTTGTTATCTGATATGCATGTCTATTATTTTTATAATATTAGTCTTTAGTGTTTGTCTTTTTAATAAAAATAAGCAAATAATTGTAGTAATATACAGAACATAAAACAAAACAAAAATAGTGTAAAAGGGAAATATAGGGATTAAATTGCAAATAAATGAAAAAAATTGGTAGTATTTCTGCTGATTAGGGTTTATTTCTATTGTCTAGTAAGCTTCTGTATGTGTGTATTTTGTTATTTTACTGTATCCTTTCACGATTTATATATTCTTTGAAGGTTGAATAATGTTTCAGATATGAAAGGAGCAGAAGCAGAAATCACAGTTTTAAACTCATGGGATAGGGAGGCCCAGTAAATGGAAAAAATAGTGGATAAAAAACTTGTATATTTGAAAAAATAATGGAAAAAATAGTGAATAAAAAACTTGTATATTTGAAAAAATAATTGAATAGCTGCTAACATAGCTAGCAATCTTGTCATGTTTTGTTACTTTCAAATACCCTTTTCTGGTTTAGGGGTAGGACCCTTTTCTGGTTTAGGGCTAGGACATTAGCAGGCAATAATAAAAATAGTTATCTAAACAAGAATCATCCTTAAAAAATGAAAATTCCATTTGAGAATTTCATCATCTGTGTAACTTAAAAATAGATCAAGCCAGAGACTGAAAACCCGTCAAAAAACCCAAATTTGTGGGACGACATTCGCAATCCTGATGGCTTCCCAGGAGCACGAAGTTTGTCGCCATTTGTGTTGTCGATTTTTTTGAATTGTCACTTGTTAAAATAGCTCTCAGATTGCTCCTCGGTTTTACGGGCAGCTGATGGAGAATTGGAGGCCGACGATTGTTTGGGCCAATTGCGTGACTCTTTTTGGGCCGCCCCAGAAGTTCCCTCGCCTCTCACATCATCTGGGCTCCACTGGGCCCGTAAAATCCAAGGCCCATACGACTCGTCCTTCTTTGTGCCGGAAATAAGTTCCCCACATCAGCAGGTTTCCCGTTATCGTCTCACGGAAGGTGATGGCTCTAATAAGCGCACGAGGCGTTCTTGATAGAAAACGAAAGGAACTTTTTTCTTCTTGTTAGTGGTTATTTTGTTAGTGTGCAGTGTGTACCTGGTGCTGTTCTTTCATTGCTTGCTCTTCTTTTTTTT